TAAAATAGTTTATTGTATTTAAATTTTTAGAAAAAAATGATAAATTTTTTAAAATGAAAGATCCCTTCAATACCCGATGCTGGATCATTTACGCCTTCAGTGACTATTGAAATTGACAAGCGATCTTCCATGAGATCTTTGTCGGTGATTTTAGTGTCATCGGTTTATTTTGTGTAATTGGATTTACTTAGATCGGACAAGAATTTAAATATACGTTGTAAAACGAGTTAGGAGGCGCGGAGTGCGCGCTCGTTCAACGATATTATAAATTCATTGCAGGGGTCCGGGGGCGGCAGCCCCCGGGTAGCAAGGTCCAAGGGGGGGCAGCCCCTGGCGGGGTCCAAGGGGCAGAGCCTAAGATTTTTGTGAAGATCCTTAAGATTTTCATGACCGGAGTCCAAAACGGTAAAGGACTCGAACAAGTGGATAACGTCGAGATAGACTCTAAAATCGTAAGAGACCTTAAGTTCAAACTCGCGCCTTTCTTCTTCCCCACGCGAACGTACGCGTACGTTTATGCGAACATTCATGTCCGATCATGAAAATTTTCGACTCTATAAAATAAAGTCTCGTGGTATGGATTGAGTAGCGTGATTTTGAGTGCTTGTTGTTGATTAACGTCTTATCCGATTGAAGTATTTCGTATACCCCGAAATAACTTTGATCTGAAAGTGTTTCGTACGTGATTCGTTATACTATCGAATTCTTCTTTAACACTGCTTCGCAGTGTTCTTCCTTAAAAAATTCTAACAATCCTTGAGACAGAAAAAGAATTACAGATTATATTTCTAATAAAAAAGCTAAAATAAGAAGAAAATATTTGATTAGAGAACCATATCAATATTTTCTGGATCTGCCACTAGGGGCTAACGGGGCATGTACCCCTGCGAGTTTGAGCGAAGTAGAGGTGACCGGTGGTTGGAGTTCTCCGGCGAAGAAGGTGCCCTCCCAACTCCCGAGTTAGGACTGAAGAAGGCAATGAGATGTGAGATGTGGAGAACAAAGTGGAGACCTGCGTTTCTTCCAAATTAATGGTTTATACTTAGAGCTGGCAAATTAGTCAGTCAGGTTGGGTTCGGGTTCAGTCACTTCAAGTTCGGGTTATTTAGGGTTCGGGTCAATTCGAGTTCAGGTTGAGAACTGTATGTTCATGATCCAGTATCGTCAGGTTCGGGTCGACCCAACGAGTTATGACTTTGGTTTTTAAAATTTTTAAATTCACATTAATACTTACATTTTCTATTAAATAAATTTAAAATATCAAAAAAATGTATTAAATCTATAAAATAATTTTATTTTAAACATTGAAGTAATTTTTAGATATATAAATCAATATAAGGAATTTAAAAATGCTTAAGTTTTGGAAAAAAGTAAGATAATTATGCAATATCAGTAAAATTTTGTCTGAAGATATAAATTTGTACACTAAAAACGAGTAGTAAAGTGTATAATTTTGAAAAATTCTTACTTTAGCAGGTCGGTCAGGTCGGGTTCGGGTTCGGTCGGGTTTGACCCATTTTTAGCGGGTCATTTTGGGTTCGGTCATCAAAATCTTTGTTCAAAACCCAATGTTTTCAGGTCAGGTTTCAGATCAAAAACAGATCGGGTCATTTTTTGCCAGGTCTATTTATACTTACTTCGCTTTTTTTTTTACTTGGAGTTTAGGTTAGAGTTAAAACAAATGAACTTGCTCAGAGTTACTCTTGTCTCTTCTCCTAGTCTTTCACTTGGAAGTGTTCGCCGATCGCTGCCCCCTTCACCAATTTCAGTTTTGTTTTCCCCTTCTCGGCTTGATGAGTTGACGTCTTCTCGATTCTCCGTCCTCCGTCCTAGACCCAGCCTGCTAGACTAGCCCTGCGATGGCTTCTCCCTTCTCACTGCCGGGCGTAGGGGTGAGAGTGGTATGACGTGGTACGGTATTTGGTTCGTACCGATACCGTACCAAATATTTTGATTCAGTATGATATTTTACATTGTACCGATCTCGATCCTGAAGTATCAGTTCGGTATGGGTCGGGATGGTCCGCTTTCAGTTTTTGTAAATAATGGGATGAATATTTATACGTATCGAGTTTACACTTTGAAATGTACAAAATTTTTTACTTAAAAAAAATTGAAAGTATATTCAAATAAAGAAAGATAAACAATTGAAAAATGAATAATTAAATGCAAGAATGCATATAAAATTTAGTTTAATTTATAATTCATATTTCACAAACAAAAGAGAGTGAATGATAAACAAATAGTATTTCAAATGTTTGTTAATTTTTTTATATTCATCTACAAAAAATTAAAATTAAAATAAATTATTATTTAAATAAAAGATTATTTGTAATTCATCTACACTTGAACCAACTTTTCAAAATTAATTTTTTTAATAAAGAAATATAAAAACATTATTATTTTTATAACATATTTGTATATATGTTTGGTTCGGGATTTTTCGATATGAGAATTTACCTCGTATCGATCCCGAATACCGGACCGACCTTTCGGTTCGGTACGGTACGATTCTTTTTCGGTATTTTATCGGTTTGGTATTTTTTAGTTCGGTAATCTCAATTTTTTCAAGAAATATAGGGATGGGTTTGGTAATTGCTTAGCCCTAGTCCGGCTTCCACTCCCTGCCTCTAGTTCTATAGCCCTGCGCAGGTTTTTTTTGCTTAAATGTTTTAAATTTTCTCCCTAATTTTTAATTTGTGTTTGTTTAAATACTTTTTTTGGGATAATGTTTAAGTGCTTTTAGTTTGGGTAATTATGTTCCATGTTTGCCTATTTGACTTAATTTGCCTAAATATTTTAAGTCTGCTACAACCCTTGCTTATATTTTAGAGATTAGGTTAATAAATTGTTTACTCCGTAATATTTTGTATTTATTTAAGGAAAAATTACCCAAAATAATCCCAACTTTACCCGGTCTTTCAAAAATAATCCCACCTTTCACTGTGATGCATAATAATCCCAACTTTATTGAAATTTGCCAGTTTTGGGTCGCCGTTAAGTTTCTAACGGAGGGTTAACGGAAATGCCCGTTTTGGGCAACAAAATGAAAGTTGGGATTATTTTTGATGAATTTTTGTTTTTTAATTTTTTTTGAAATTTTTATTTAAAATTTTTGAATTACTTTCAACCTCAATTTCTTTTTCTTTTTTAAAGATTATTCTTACCTTAGAAAAAAATAGATATAAAAATAATGAAAATGAGAAAAATAACTAAAACCATACAAAATTAATCAAATAAATAATGTAATCAATAGAAATTAAACAGAAACTGGTAAGAAATAAAATAAATATATACGGAGTGGTGGGTTTTAACATTTTATACACTATACGGAGTCTTAATGTACTACTTCTTTCGTCCCAGAGTATTTGTCCACTTTCATTTTTACACACCATCCAATACACTTNTAAATAATTATAGAAATTATATATTAATAATCTATATGCTAAGACAAATCAAACAAAATCACACATGACTATATTTAGGCTTACACATTGAGAGAATTTGATGAGTCAAAGTGCTTAGATGAACAGTTTCAAAAGTCAAAAGTGGACGAATATAGCGGGACGGAGGGAGTACTTATTTTTTAAAAGAACAAGCCGTCCGGTAAAGTTGGAATTATTTTAGATAATTTTTTCTAAAAAATAAGAAATGATATGTTAATACTTTGTATAATGCGTAAAATATTAAAACCCACCCGTATATTTTTATTTTACTTTTACCAATTTCAAGTTAGTTTCCATTGATTACCTTATTTGTTTTATTATTTTTGTATCATTTTAGTTACATTTCTCATTTTTTCATTTTTTATATCTATTATTTTTATTTTTTAAACTAAGACTAATCTTTAAAAAAGGAAAAAGAAATGACGATGGAGGTAGAAAGTAATTTAAAAAAATTAAATGAAAAATTTTTAAAAAATAAAAAAAATGAAAATTCATCAAAAATAATCCCAACTTTCATTTTGTTGCCTAAAATGGGCATTTCCGTTAACCCTCTGTTAAAAACTTAACGGCGACCCAAAACTGACAAATTTTAATAAAGTTGAGATTATTATGCATCACAGTGAAAGGTGGGATTATTTTTGAAAGACCGGGTAAAGTTGGGATTATTTTGGGTAATTTTTCCTTTATTTAATTATGAGGTTATTATGCAAATGCAATGCTTTCTAAAGCTGTTATTTCTAAGGAAAAATTTACTTACAATGATAGTTACGTTTATACAAACTTATTTCTTTGTTTAAGAAGCTATAAAATATTATAGACGTAATGAATTTGTGCCCCCCCTCCCACTAAGCCACCCCTGGCTCTGCTGGGAATAATTTGCGACGGCGTCGCCGCCTCTGGCCACCATGGAACCACTACCTCTCCAAGTCCTTAATTAAAAGGTACCATTAAGTAATTATAATTTGCAAATAAGTTTGATTATTATGATTTAATGTGTGCTTTGTTTAATTCTTTTGCATCGGCCTCCCTTTTGTAAAGGATGAGCCCTCGTCCCCTAGAGCCCCCTCAGCTCGTCCCCTAGAGCCCCCTCAGACCCAGTCAGACGGGCAACGAGGTGAACTAAACTTTGATCGCATATTGGTGGCAGTCTGCTTGGGGAGGCCTTATGGTTCCTCCTAGCGCAATTGTCAGGAATCGATCTCAGGTCTTACCCCTTGGCATTCCTCGCCTTTGCCAACTGCGCAACGCCCATCGGCAGCATCCTTTTTGTGCATGTGTGGGTGGAGTCACATATGCACTTCACTTATCAAATCTTAGGTTATTCATTTGAATATGTGATTAATGAGCTTATTGCAAGCTTTCCATATTGTGTGCGATTCCATGTTTTTTCTTTAGATTCTTGAAATGAATTAGTTTTGAAATGGAGTTCCTGGTCTAAACATAACAAATACAGAGTACTGCGTAACACATATTCCCCGTAGACTCTGGAAAGGATTTTTTTTTGAAAGAATTGATCACGTACAGACAATCGTATGGCCTGAAATAGGTTCAGCTACCATTTAATAAAATTGATTAAATAGCACCCCGTTTAAAGTTCTCCGTGCGACTAGCTGGATTGAAGAAGATAACTGGCACAAATAGGCTCTCAGCTGAAATGTATGCAGAATTGATATCAATCTTCAGATCAGATTAAACATTTGGTGCAACCATAAGTTAGTACGACACTTCCTAAAGTTATAGTTGTTCGTAGTCTATGACTCTATGTTATCTTTCTTCAGCAGCATCTTCTGTTCCTGACATGGTGTCTTGAAGTGGACTAGGTGGTTCTGTTGTTATTAACCCCTCATCACAAATGAAGACTTCCGGAGATTGGGCAATGCTGGTTTGCAGTCTTGATGCTGGGGAAATTACATCATATGTTGTATCCATAGGTAAAACCTCTTCATTTCCTTCTCCAGACTTTTCAGTCACTTCAGGCAAGACCAGATTTACTTCGCAGAAGGCTCTTGCTAATGCACAAACTTTTTGCCAGGTCGTATGATCACCAGATGCCAAGATATCTTTGTTCTGATTAAGGAAGTTGAAAAAGAAGATGAGAAGAGCAGATATTGCTGCTACACCAGCTATCAGGAAAATTCCCTTGAAACTGTCAAGTGCTAGGCTATCTGATGCAATGAGAGTTACATCTTGCTCTGAACAGTTCGTTTCATTCCTGAACCACTTATCTGTAATTCTCACCATACTCTCACTTTCCATCACACTTAAGATTGCTCTTGACACATCAGGAACCAGAGGCGATCCTTTTGGGAATGCCTGCAACAAGAATTCAATGAAACAAATGTCATTATAGCAGTGTATCTTCAAGGAAGTACGGCCAGGGTTCGTTTGGAACTCAGAAAATTGTAGGGCACGAAAAGGTGAAGGAGACATAAGAATTAAATGTAGTGCTTTCAGGGAAATGATAAAAAATTTGGTTGAAACTCAATAAATAATAGTAGCCTTATGAAATCAAGATTCTGGGTTGAAGGTTAGAGAAATTACAAATCCAAATCCTGCTGTCTTGTAAGTTGGGCCAACCATGGTGTACTTCCTGCAGTACTTTGCAAGGAAGAGCCTCATGTAGGGCAGTTCGTCAACAATGGCGGAAACACCTCCGTTTTGGCTTCCTTTGGTAAGGGCTTCATCATATTCTTCTAACGTACTGTAATTCCGAAATTTTGAGCTTTCAAGATGCATGAACTTCAAAAGGCCCGTGACAAAGGATCCCTCCTGGTATCCAACTGGTTCTTGGTTCTTTATGAGATCTGTAAGGTTTGTGATGGTGGGTTGGAGCTGTTGTACTGTTAACATGGACGTTAAGCTGGCTGTATAGCTTGATGTAAGCACCAGCACTACAAAGACCCACACAATTATGACAAATCTTGATAGATTGCTGATCACCTTTTCCCCTGAAACATTGTAGGTTTTCACTATCATGAGAAACACTGTTTATTTAAGGTCCCTTTGGAATTTGGATCCTGGAAAATACTAGGAAAAGATAATAGGAAGGAAAACACATGAAGTAAGAAGAAAATAAAATCTGAGAAAAACTAGAAGGTAGACCAAAACTCAATAATTTTTGTCGTTAAATGTCTACTTATCTTATTTATTCATGTCAATTATGTAAGACTTATTGTCGTTGTCGGCGTCATTATCAGCACCATACTCTTAAGTCTTAACTATATGGGGTCATTAAGATTAAATCATAGTGTCAAATAATTGTACGACCGGTTTCTTTTGACACTTAAATATTTTTTGTTGTTTTTTGTTTTGTTTTGGGAGGTAGATTTTTTGATCTTTTGGGAGATAGAAGCTTACTGTGAGCAAAGACGAGTGTAGAGAAGGAGAACCAGAAGATCATCCCAAATTGCTTGTGAGGAGGACCTTGAAACTCTTTGTTTATGTGATGTTCAAGTACCCAAATCACAGAGCCAATAAAGACAAAGAAAGCCCCTGTTGTCACCCAAAGCTCTGTTCTCAAAGGTCTTAAGAAAATCCAGGCACTCCTCCTCCTATCTTTCCTTACTGGGACAACTGTAATGACTCCAGATTCTGTAAATGGCAGTGTGAATTCCACGCTTTTGGATCTGTTTGCTAAGATGGTCACATCTCCAACGACAACATCAACGCTCTGTTGAAATCCAAGATATTGCAAGTGCTACAATGTGATTAGTATTCAAGAACGTTTTGCATGAGGAATAAGTGTTTCTTTTATAGAAAATTTAACTCCTGAAAAGAAGCATTTGGTAAGAAAACAGAAATGAACGATTTTACTATTAAGAATCACATTTAATGCTTATTTATGAAAAGCACTTGAATTGTAGTATTACCCCGAGAAGAACCTGGCTGACAAGAGCATCATAGTCTGGAAGGTTTTGGTTGCCAGGGATTGGGAAAGGTACATAGTCAAACGGAGCAGCGAAAGGCAAGTTCTTAATTACTTCCTCAAAAACATCAATGCAAAAACCAGTGGCAGTCACTCTGTTTGTTTGGGTATCCTGTGTTACTTTCACGAACTGTTCAAGTCCACCTTTAACGGGAACTCCTACCCGCAACTTCTTTTTTCCATTTGTGGGAGTCTCCCATCCTTTAGGAACAGTGTGCGAGTCACCTGGCCAGATGATTGCCCCCAGATCCTCCTTGTTGGCTGTGTATACACCTCTAGGACTACTATGCTTTAGCTTCTTGGAAATCCCATACTCTTCCGTCCAGAACCCAACCCCTTTCTCACCACCTAACACATTCACAATCTGAAACACAGATGGCTGCAACTCTCCATTAACAATGTGGAATTGACCGCTTAGCCCATTGAGTTTGATGTTTCTGATTGATTTTAAGAGTGAAGGCCCCAACTGTGAGGTCCCAATTGCATCCAAGTCTGACAGACTCTCACCACTCACCGCTGGCTTGAATCCTTGATGGGAAGTATCTACTGTCTCAATTGCCGTGGCTAATGCTGTCGTGCTGTCATATGCCCATAACCCAAAAACATCCAACCCCTCAACTCTATCTGTCTCCGGGTTCTCCTCATAAAACTTCCTTGTATATTTGTTAGTGAAGTTCTTCACCCGCTGCACGTAGGGCTTCACCCCTATCACTCCCTGGATGTCATCAATCTCTGAAGGGTCCATTGATCTCAAATGACTCGTGAAAGTGTCTGTGATCATCCACACGTACCCCTCACTCATCATTCCCTCATCTTTCACCTTCTGAAAAAAGCGAGACCCAGTGGTTTGCTGTAAATGCACGACGAACACCCTTGTTTGCATCGTCATCAACTTGTAGAGTTCCATGAGGATTCGTTCATCATCAGCAGAAGGTGGGAGGACGCATCTGTATGCTACAGATACTCCAACATCCATCATGGCATCTGTCAAATGGGGAAGAACACCCCTTCCGAAGTCACTTCCCTCATACACAAACACGACCTCTCTCCAATCGAATGCCTTAACGATGGCTGCAATGGCTTTAACCTGAGCACTTGCACTATATGCCACTCTGATGAAGTACTCACTTTGGTTAGGTGAAAGTGATGGACTTGTAGCTGGAGACAGTATGGGAACCTTCACTTTCTCCCCAAGATCTATCACAAAATCTGCTTGTGTCGCCATCTGAGGCCCCAAGATTGCTTGGACTTTCACATTCTTCAACAGGTCTATGGCTGCAAAATTTGAGATCCAAAGTCCCAATGCCATGGATTTAAATATTTATGTTTTTTTTATATACTCCCTCCATCCTATAAAATTGGTGACACTTTAACTTCATGAAGTTTAAGAAAGTTGTTGAAAAGTAAAAGTATGATTAGAATTTGTTTAGAGGAGAGAATTGTGGGTAGTCGCATATTTATTACCAAAATAGGGAATGGAGTAAATGTAAATAATTTTATGGGACGTCCAAAAAAAAGGAAAGTGTAAAGAATTTTATGGGACGAAGAATGAGTTAATGGGCGATTTGGTGCAGTGGATCCAAATTTTGATGTGGAAGGCCAAATTGAGTCCAATGAAAAGTTAAAGACCAAAGTTGAGTCATACTTATTGCATAGTTCTGGTGCACTTTGTCAATTCAAACATTTTTTTTGTCAAAGCTGCTAAACTTTGATCAACAATAGTTTTCTTATAAAAAATGATTTGTAGTATGCAAATAATAAAATATACTGTATTCTCCATCATCAAACATACTTTTGCAGTTCAAAATATATTAATCATTCTTATACTTTTACCAGTACTATTAAACTTTAACTCGCTAATTAATCACCTGCAGATGCTGCAAGAACGTCATCGCCTTGGGAGTCTCTGAAGTGGAGGGAAATGCGGGCACTGTGGCTGCTGCGAGTTGCATAGAAATCAGCAAGAGCCAGTGACATACATATCTGCACCATCTTCCCAGGCCCCGTCTTCAAATCAAGAATCACGCCAACGTCAACCTTCACCGCACTGGAATTTTCTGCCTGAATTGGTGTTGTGCAAAGGGTGATGATGAGAGCAGCAACCTTTAGCAGAAACACATTCAAGGTTCTTGAAGTATTCATATTTTTTTTATAAAAAAAATTGATTGATAGATTCTTTGTATATTCTACTTCTCTGTATAAGCTTGTTTATTAAGTTCTTTCATAGAATATACTATATATTTAAGACGTAGGGAATCACTTGTACTGTGAAAAAACAAGTCAATGGGTTTGGCTCAAAATGTAAGCGCGTTGGTGTGCGTCTATGACAGAAAAGTCTATGGATGGGAAATGGCCGAGTGATGAAATGGTCCAGTATGGCTAATCAAACTACATCTATGACGTAGAACCTGTTTGGGATCTATGCATTTTATTTATTTTTTTAAATTTCATTTTTAAAAAAGGAAAAAGCTATGTGTACACCATATGTGTACACCACTTGTACACCATACATACCCCCTCCCCCCTAACTTTCCATAACCCCCTCCCACTACTCCATCCCCATATCTTTCCATAACCCCCTGCTCTCTCTCTCTCACAGATTTCTCCGACGAAGCATACCGGAAGAGCATCCCTTCTCCGAGAGCTTCTCCTTCGTCTTCCCCGTTCTTCCTTTGCAGCAACCCCTACTTCGCCATCCTCCATCGAGTGCATCGGTGGAAGATTCAACTTGGCAAAGAGCGCCTCCTTTGTCTTCTTCGATTTTTTGCTCCCATCCGGCCACGGTAAAATAACAAATTAAAGGTAATAATAAATAATTTTATTTCAATTTTAGGGTTTTTATTTTGTAAATCTAGATTCAATCGCTCAATCCTTCCCTTTTGTGAAATTAGCCTTTGTTTGTGTGTTTTGTGAATCATTGTTTCTTGAACTTGTTCAATTGTTTATTTCCTTTTTGAATCTTTTCAGTTGTTAATTTTTCATTAATAACATGTTCTAATTAGGCATTTTTCATGTTTATTACGAAATGTCTGTGTAGTACTTCTCACAGGTGTAAAATGTTTGTATTCTAATTAAGAGTATTCGATTTCAAAACTTGTTTTGAAATGTCTATGATGTGCTTCTTGCTTGCATAAAATGTCTGTATTTANCCTTTTGTGAAATTAGCCTTTGTTTATGTGTTTTGTGAATCATTGTTTCTTGAACTTGTTCAATTGTTTATTTCCTTTTTGAATCTTTTCAGTTGTTAATTTTTCATTAATAACATGTTCTAATTAGGCATTTTTCATGTTTATTACGAAATGTCTGTGTAGTACTTCTCACAGGTGTAAAATGTTTGTATTCTAATTAAGAGTATTCGATTTCAAAACTTGTTTTGAAATGTCTATGATGTGCTTCTTGCTTGCATAAAATGTCTGTATTTAAAAAAGAACTTGTTCTATTTCATAAATTATTTGAAAGTGTTTGTGAAGTGTTTGTTACTGGCATAGAATGTCTGTTTTCCAAATAAGAGTGCTCAATTTCAAAACTTGCTATGAAATGTCTCTGAAGAGCTTCATTGCTTTTTAGTGTGAAATGCATGTATCCTAATTAATAGTTTGCCTTATTTTAAAAGTTGCTTTGAAATGTATTTTGAGTGTGTATTATTAGCTTAAAATGTATGTATTTCATTATCACCAATATTTAAGGTTTGTCAGTCAATAAATTACCGGTGTTTTACATTGGTTCAATGGAACATGAGAAATATAAATTCAACTATCTAGAAAGTGTACATGATTTATGTTTGCTTCATAAACATTCTTTTTTGTGATAAATAATAATTGTGATTGAATTACTTTTCTTGAGCATACATGGAGCTCACAAATGTTTACTGTCTGTGAATTTTTAATCACAAACACTATGTGTCTGTAATAACCGATACTACGTATTTGTAAATACCTATATACAGACACTAAGTAAATTCTTCAGTTAAAACCTTAACTGCTTGTAAAATTGAATCTCATAGTCATAGATAGTCAATATGCTGGTTGGAATGTATTGTTAGTTTTGATTTTAAATTTGTTATTAATTTACCAATGCGTTAATTTACTTCTCATATATTTTTTTTAGTTTTTACAACATTAACAAGATGTGTTAACTTGTGTTGACAATAGGTGAGAAATATCCAGCAATGGTAGGTGAGGAAACACCCTCTGGCGACAGCACCAGCAACGGTTTAGAAGATACCCAACAACGGCAGTGCGCAGGGAAAGCAGGCAAGACGCGATGAATTTCCGACGGCGAGTTGTAGTGGTTTAGAAGACTAATAGTGTAAAAAAGAATGAGGCGAATTTGGTCACACAGACACTAAAAGTTTGTAATTATTCAAACACAAACATGTAATATATGTATTTAATGTATGAAAAGTGCACTTGTCAAATATACCAAATAATATTTCACAATTTTTTCTTGTAATGTAAAAATAAAGTAAATATGCATAAAGTAATGTTTGGTCAAATAGACAATAAACGTTTGTAATTCATTAAAAAAAATATTTATTGTGTGTGTAACCTGTATCAAAACTAATCAAACAAATATACACATAATTGAGCATAAAGAACATTTCACAATTTTCTCTAGATTGTATAAAAATAAAACAGTTATAATTACCAGTGTTTTGTTACATAGACACTAAATATATGTAATTCTTGATACATAGACACTTATTATCTGTGTAACCTGGATGAAAATTTCACCCGTTAAATATGCAAAATAATAGAGTATCAAGAGCATTCACAAATTTAATTATGTTTAAAAAAAAGAAAAAACAACAATCAACGCTATTTAGTTACACAGACACTAAAATTCTGTAATTGTTTGAACACTGACATTTACTGTCTGTGTACTCTGAGTGAAAATTGCACCACCATCTCTGCCAAAATCAACTTCTCCGGCGACATTGTTGAAGACCAAGAAAGTTGCGGTGACAATCATAGAGGAGCGGGCGACGAGGGGGAAGCAGGTGGCGGCGAAAGAATTGAAGGCGTGGTTCGTCGCCCTACTCCGATCCAGATCTCGGCGACGGCAACGACGATGATGGCGCCGTTGTGACGCTTCTGGGCGGCTGTGAGGAGCCCATGCCGTGCAACTTCAGGGGGCGCCGAAGATGAAGCTAGTCACCGGTGGGACGGAAGAGAGATGCGAGATTTAGAGAGAAAGAGAGAATGAGTGAGAAAGGGAGATGATGAAGCCAAGTGCTGCGTCGATCATCAGCAGAGAGGGAGGGAGTTGAGGAATCTAAGGAGGAAAAAAGAGTGAGGAGGAGAGATCTGTGAATGAGTGGGTAGGGTTAGTTATGGAATAGGAGTGGGGGAGTGTATATGGTGTTCAATTGGGGTACACCAAGTGGTGTACCCCTAGCAGGACCGTTTAAAAAAAGACCATTCAATCTCAGTTGTTTTTTTCAACTTTGATTAAAATTTGAAAATTCTAGCTTATATGGAGTAATTATTTTTAGCTTATCTTTCCTTTCACTTGTGTTTCTTGTATCCAAATAACTTTTTCAACTACTCCCCTGCTCTATAACTAGCTTATTCGTGTACACGCATAGTCCTAGATATATACTCAGTCCGTCTTTGAGTATTTGTCCACTTTTAATTTTTTTTGTCAAAATTGGTAAACTTTGACCTCATATTAAATAAAAATGATATTAGATATTGATACAAAAAGAGTTTTTTTAGAATTATTGTATCAAGTATTTTTCAAAATATTATTTTATTTAATTAAAATACAATGTATATTTTATTTAATTATAGATCAAAGATTGAAAACAGTTGACCAGAAAATGTCAAAACTGGACAAATACTCAGGGAGTTAGTATGTATTATGCACATGTATGTATAATATGTATATTATACTCCTAGAGTCCTAGACATGTATTATTTTTTGTGTGACAAACATATAATACAGATATTTTAAATCCCAAACGTATTTATAAATTTTATACTTCGTCAGTCCTTAAAACCCCTTCTTGTATTAACTTTTAGGGGATTTAAGACACTGTATTTTGGTATTGACTTTCAAGAAATTCCCTCCGATGTAAGCTGCTAGGTGTGGAGGCTCAGTAAGCTAACGTGACTTCAATGTCGGTCGATCTAGCCCTGAGTATCGGCACCAACGGCAACTGGAAACCGACTGCTCCGAAGTTCTTTTATCCCCCACCCCCCCTCTCTCTTCTTTCTCCTCTTTTCTCCTTTTCTTGCCTTCAGCATGCATCCCTCCCACACCTCCTCTTCTTGCGTTGCTCCCTTTGCTCAGCAAGCCGTCGGAAAGAACAAAACTACACTGCACAGCCTAACGGGTAAAAGTCTCTTTGATCGACTCCAACCGTATCAATTTAGGTCAAAATTTGGATAAAATTGTTGTAATGCCTTGAATCTGACCCGTTACAGTTCCGGATCCGGAGAGGTCCAAATCCGGAGAAGTCCTACTTCCGTGAAATCCGAATTCCGGAGAAGTCGAGAAATTCGAATCTCGAGAGATCCAAATCCTGAGATGACCGAATCCCTTTCTAATTGGGCTTCTAATTATCTGTTAATTCTCTAGTTTGGGGCCCAAGTCTGTTAGGGTTTAGCCAAGCACTATTTATATGGGTGCTACTACAAACCCTAGGTGGTATTCTATTTTTGCCTCTCCATCCGAAATAAAACTACTCCCCCTCTTTCCCATGGACTAGCCAACACAACGTTGGTGAACCACGTTAAATCTGTTATCGTGTTTTTTCTCGTTTATATATATGTTATTCTCGAATTCTGCATAACAAATTGGTATCAGAGCCACCAGGTTAATCGGTGTTCTTGGAGATTTTTCGAGATGTCTGCTTTGAACGTAAAAATCGACAAATTCACAAGGAGGAACAGTTTCAGTTTATGGCAGATCAAGATGCGGGCTTTGTTGAAACAACAAGGCTTCTGGGCGCCGTTGTCAAAAGACAAAAACGCCGTCGCTACTCCTGAGATGGCGACTCTAGAAGAGAAGGCACACTCGACGATCATGCTGTGTTTTTCAGATGACGTTATCACGGAGGTCTCAGACGAGGAGAGTGCTGCTGGCTTGTGGTTAAAGTTGGAGAGTCTGTACATGACAAAATCTTTAACCAACAAGCTACTTCTGAAACAACGTCTATTCGGTTTACGAATGGCTGAAGGTACACCACTCAGGGAACATCTAGAGCAATTAAATACTTTGTTATTAGAATTGCGTAGTATCGATGTGAAGATCGAGGATGAAGATGCTGCCCTGATTCTGTTGGTATCCCTCCCAATATCGTTTGAGAATTTTGTTCAATCGTTCATTGTTGGGAAAGATATTGTGTCTCTGGAAGAAGTTAGATCTGCCCTTCATAGCAGGGAATTGTGGCATAAGGCCAATGGCACGAGTACAGATGTACAACCTTCTGGCCTATTCACAAGTACTGGAAAGGGAAAGAAATACGGCGGAAAGAAGAAGGAGAGAAAGTCTCCGTCAAAGGGTGCAAAGACGGATGATGTCTGTAATTACTGCAAGGAGAATGGGCATTGGAAATTTGATTGCCCGAAGAAAAAGAAGCAATTGGAAAAACAATCAGTCTCTGCTGCTGTTTCTGAGGAAGACACCAATTCTGAAAAAGACATTGCCTTAGTTGCTGATGAAAACACTCATCACTCAGATGTGTGGGTTTTAGATTCTGGGGCATCCTATCATATCTGTCCAAGGAGAGAGTGGTTCACGACTTATGAGCAGATAGACGGAGGGAGCATCTCGATGGCCAACAGTTCTACCTGCAAGGTGGTTGGGACAGGCTCGATCAAGATTAGGACACATGATGGTAGCTTCTGCACATTGAACGAGGTCAGGCACGTACCATTGATGACAAAGAATCTGATATCTCTTAGCCTTTTAGACAGCAAGGGGTTCAGTTGGTCAGGAAAAGATGGAGTTTTGCGCGTCTGGAAGGGTTCAAATCTGATTCTGAAAGGTGTCATGCGGGGTACTCTGTATTTTCTACAAGGTTCCACGGTTATAGGTTCAGTCCATGTTGCATCATCAGAAGTTAAACATGAAAATATGACCAAATTGTGGCACATGAGACTTGGTCATATGGGTGAAAAAGGGATGCAAATTCTATCAAAGGAGGATCTTCTTGCTGGTCATAAGGTAAAATGCCTAGAGTTCTATGAACATTGTGTTTTTGGAAGACTACATCGCAATAAGTTTCAAAAGGCCATTCATAGAACAAAAGGCACACTTGATTACATCCATTCTGATTGCTGGGGTCCATGCCGAGTTGAGTCTTTGGGAGGATGCAGATTTTTTGTGTCAATCATTGACGATTACTCAAGGATGACTTGGGTGTACATGATGAAGCATAAAAGTGAAGCTCTCAAGAAGTTCAAGGAGTGGAAAACATTGATGGAAAATCAAACAGGGAAGAAGATCAAGAGGTTGCGAACTGATAATGGGCTGGAATTCTGTTGGTCTAAATTTGATCAATTCTGTAAGGATGAAGGGATTGCTCGACATCGTACAGTCAGAAATACACCACAACATAACGGTGTAGCTAAGCGGATGAATCAAACACTTCTGGAGAGAGCAAGGTGCATGCTCTCTAATGCTGGGCTAGACAGAAGGTTCTGGGCAGAAGCGGTTAGTACAGCTTGCTACTTGATTAACCGCGGACCACATACAGGCATACAGTGCAAGACACCTATGGAGATGTGGTCAGGAAAAGTTGCAGATTATTCAAACCTGAGAGCTTTTGGCTGCACAGCTTACTATCATGTCAGTGAAGGGAAGCTAGAACCACAAGCTAAAAAGGGAGTATTTGTGGGCTACGGAGATGGAGTGAAAGGTTTAAGAATCTGGTCTCCGGCAGAAAAGAGGGTTATTCTGAGCAGAAACGTTGTCTTTGATGAAATTTCTCTGTTTAGAACCACTGTGAAGCCTACAACTACGACAGAAATTGATAGTCTTGATAAACAGGTGGAGCTTCAAGTCATTCAGAACAAGAATGATATGAAAGAACCTGAAGACGAAAATCAAGAACCACAGACCGAAACTGATTTCCAAGAGTCTATGCCATCAGATACCCATCGTAGTATAGCTCAAGATCGACCAAGAAGGGTTGGAATTTGGCCACCTACGAGGTATGGTTTTGAGGACATGGTGGGTTATGCACTGCAGGTTGCTGAAGAGGTCGATACTTCTGAACCATCGACTTATAGAGAAGCTGTTTTAAGTCCTGATTCTGAAAAATTGTTAGCCGCGATGGGAGATGAGATGGACTCTTTGCATAAGAATCAAACATGGGATCTTGTCATACAGCCTCCGGGGAGAAAGATTATCACT